TAAAAATCATTCATACTGAATACTTGACGAACAACGGTGGCAAGATCATGCTTATTGCTTTTAAAATGTTCATATACTGTATTTAACTCAATCACAAGTATGATGATGAACAACACTCTATTAATTGATTGCTTTAAATTTGATATTGCTACTATCAATGTCATGACTTCTTTTCTATATTTAAAAAATATTCAGTGTGTTTAATACCATGAATTATCCAAGAAATAACTTCACTCAATACCTTTTACTTTCTTTTTTAACAATATTCTATGTTTTAGAATTTGCATTATCCCATCCCCATACAATTTTTTATGCTCTTTGTTACACACACACATATATGTCATAGACAGATGACGGACAAACTTAATTTTCAACTTTATATTCATGATGATATTTACAACGTTTTTATGGATTAATCAATTGATTTGTGGATTGTCTATTATGTTTGTCTACTAACAAGGCGATACATATATAAACTAAGCTATTGATCATTGGTAAGGGTTTTCAAAAATCGTATTGATATTATGAACTGTAAAATAATACCTTTATAAATCCGAATCTAAATGAGTCTTTGATAAAAATTTTCAATAATTAAGAGACTTATTTTCTTGGTAATCAGTTTTTTGGATCCAAACAAATAAATAAGTAAACAAGAAGTTGAAATAAGCAGGGATCTGTGCACCACCTAGAAAAAAAAGTTATCAAAAAAAACATTGTTTTTGTCTCGAGTTAATTGGATATGATTCCAATTATTCATTCAACTTTTTTTTTGTTTTTAGTAACGAATCAATAATTTAGAACCTCAATGACTTATCCTTCTTGTGAGTGTAGTTAATGTAGATACTGATGCATATGAATAGAAGCAGTATATGTAATGGCTACCGCCACCATCATTGTTAACGTAATGGATGCTTGCTATTATTAATACCATGATTACCATTATCATCAATAGTATTATCATCACCATCGCCATTATCATCACTATTATCATTATCACTAGCGAAAATCTTGGTTGATTATATAATGGGTTAACTGGAAGAAAGCACATGAAAGAAATTTAATATTGTAAAAAAATAAAACAATTTTTAATTGTCAACACATGAATCTTTCTCAAGGACAAATGTCCCATTGCTTGGATAATGTCGCAAATCTGAAAACATTTTCCCTATATAGTTGTTACTATAAAGTATCTTAAAGATCGTTTCATCAAAATCACCATCTTCGGTCCACAACTTTTTTAAAAAAACTATTTTTTTAATTTCTTCAAGTTTTTACATTAATATTAATCAAAAAACGAAACTACGGACGGCTAACAAAACTCGGAATTGCATTTCTAGCTAAGCCTCTCTTTAGCCTAAGAAGACTAGTAAACAATCCAAACATCATTGAAACTAAAACATATATAAACATAGTACACATTATTTATTAGTATTAGATTATCAAAAAATAATTTCTTACCTCTTTATTTATTACAACAAACATTCTCTATTATTATTGAAAAGAAAAAAAGTCCCAACAATGGGTTAAGTAAAATACTGTATATATGATGCAAGTCACTTAGTCCCACAATTTTTTATTGGTTGTGTAGATTTTCAAATTCTCCAAAAATGGAAATGCAACACCCCAAAATAAATCGTGTATTTGAAGCCAAGACCTTCCTCTACAAAATCACGATTTCATCTCATTGATATGTCATGTTGTTGTGGAGAATTTGAGC